TTCGGCGAAGCACAGAGGCGGGAGCGAATAACCCCGGATCTGACGGGGGAAGAACTGGTAGCAGTGCTGACAAGGGCGTGCGATACAACCATGCCTAGGAGAGCCTATCCCAGGCATGGCCATAGACCGGTGTACTGGTGGAGCGAGTCGATTGCTATCCTTAGGGCGTCTTGCTTCCAGGCGAGAAGGAGGATGCAACGAGCTCGTAAGACTGAATCTCGGGAGGAACGCCGTGTCGCTCTTCGAGCGGCTAAGGCGGCCCTCAATAAAGAGATCGCCAGACGCAAGCGTGCGTGCTTTGACAGCTTATGCCAAAGCACCAACACGAACCCATGGGGGGATGCCTACAAAGTCCGCGGCGTGACGGCACCCCCAGAGAGATCACCAGCGGTACTGGCTCCGATCGTTGGGTTCCTGTTCCCGCATAGGGACGTAGACTCCTGGCCGCGAATCCCAGGCGCGGATCAGGGAGAAGTGTCTAGAGTGACGAACAGTGAACTTAGCGGTATTGCCAACTCGCTGGTGGTGGGCAAGGCCCCGGGCCCAGATGGGATCCCGGTTTGTGGCTCTGAGGGCGGCCGTTGCGGAAAATGCAGACATGTTCCGTTCTGTTTTTCAGACCTGTCTGGACGTAGGCATCTTCCCAGATGCGTGGAAGCGGCAGAGGCTGGTGCTGCTTCCGAAGCCAGGGAAACCCCCTGGGGACCCGTCAGCATACAGGCCCATTTGTTTGCTAGACACTACTGGGAAACTGCTTGAGAGGGTCATCCTCAACAGGTTGTCGTCCTACACCGAAGGTGTAGACGGCCTGTCAAGCAGCCAGTACGGATTCCGTAAGGGCAGATCCACGGTGGATGCCATCCGCGGCGTCATCCAGACGGCAGAGGTGGTCCACCGGAAACGAAGGGGCATTCGTTACTGCGCGGTGGTAACCTTAGATATGAAGAACGCGTTCAACAGCGCGTGCTGGGGGGCGATAGCCCGCTCGCTACACCAGCTCCAAATTCCCGGAGGGCTGTATAAGATTCTGCGTTGCGTTAGAGTCACCGTAGGAGTGCCACAAGGCTCCATCCTGGGCCCGGTGTTATGGAACGTCATGTACGATGGACTGTTGAGGATAAAATTCCCGGTAGGCGTGAAAATTGTAGGTTTTGTCGACGATGTCACGCTGGTAGTCTACGGGGAATCCCTCGAAGAGATAGAGCTGACAGCGGCTGACTGCGTCAAGCTTGTGGAGGAATGGATGAGATCCAGGAAACTGGAGCTTGCCCATCACAAGACGGAAGTGGTCGTAGTCAACAATCGCATGTCAGTACAGCATGCGACGTTGACAGTCGGCGGAAGCACAATTAGGTCTGTGCGCTCTGTGAAACTCTTGGGGGTTATGCTCGATGATAAGCTCAGCTTCGGCTGCCACGTCGAGTACGCCTGCAAGATAGCGTCTATGGCTGTGGGGGCATTATCCCGTATGATGTCAAACAGCTCGGCAGTGAATGCAAGTAAGCGCAGGCTCCTCGCTGAGGTCGTAGTATCTATCCTCAGATACGGTGGCCCTGCGTGGGCTGCGGTACTGGATAATGACTGCCACAGGCGGAAATTAGAGAGCACACACAGACTAATGTGCTTGAGGGTGGCCAGTGCATACCGCACTATCTCGAGAGAGGCCGTCTGTGTCATAGCTGGGATGTACCAATCACCCTTATCATTAAGGAGGATGTGGTTTGCTATGACGCGAGGACCGTTCGAGGGGTGCACAACAACGCGCGAGTTGTGTCGACCACGAGATGGCAATCGGAGGAGGAAAACTCCACAAAGGGGAGGTGGACTAACCGCTTGATAGCTTCCGTATCAAGCTGGGTCAACAGGCGCCTCGGGGAAGTAAACTTCCACCTGACACAGTTCCTGTCAAGCCATGGCTGCTTTAGGAGCTACTTGCATAGGTTCGGACATGCAAGTACTCCTACCTGTCCCAGGTGCGCTGGCGTCGAGGAGACCACCGAACACGTTGTGTTCGCCTGTTCACGCTTCGAGCCAGTATCGAGCGCTATGCTAGCGATATGCGGAGCGGATACCAGTTCGGATAACATCGTTCCTAGGATGTGTGGTACCACCGAGAACTGGAGCGCGGTGGTGACTGCGGTCACCCACATAGTTTCGGAATTACAACGCCAGTGGCGTGCCGAGCAGCAGTTGTCTACTGCCCGACTAGATCGATAGAGTATTGCTAGAGAGGCGCCATAGCGCTACAGTGGCCCCTCCCACGAAGTAATGCCTTCGGGTGGTTCCGGGGAGGTCAAGGGCCAAGTGCACAGGGTGAAATGTGGGTGAAATTCTCCCATCCCCACACCCTGAGTTCCTTCTCAGGTGTCTGTGAGCAGATTCCCCCCTGTATAAAAAAAAAGCCAGCAGTAATGAAGGAGCTCAATAAACCCTATAATTGCGACACTGTACAGCATTGCTATTCAATTTATTGGCAGATGCCCTATTCAAGAAGTTGTTGCGAGCTCATACGAAGGTTTCGTGATCACCAACATTAACGGAATCTTCATATGCAGTTGTTACCCACCCCCAGATGAACGATGAAGCAGTTCCATGAGATGCGAAAAGCTGATCGAACGAAGAAAGGCAGTCATCGGAGGAGACTTCAATGCTTGGGCAGTGAACTTGGGAAGCAGATGTTCCAATGCAAGAGGGCACAGTCTGCTGGAAGCTGACAAAGCCCCAGCAGGCCTGGGTTCAATCCCAGTCGGCTCCACCGAGATTTTTTTTTTTCCTTTGGTTTATTTTTTCCGTCGATCTTATTTTCCGTGCTGAGCACCAATGCTACCGACGTGCCAGGAAGGCAGCTCCCACACCTAGACCCTACCTATCAACCCATCAACTCATGAACCGGGGACCAACGGCTTTACTTCCCATCCGAAGGAATGCGTGATCAGAGATGTTATGCCTCAGAACATCCCGGCGGCGCCGACTGGTATTGAACCCAGGCCTGCTGGGGTGAGAGGTAATCACGCTTACCACTACACCACCGGCGCCGTTCACCGGGATGTTCTGAGGCATAACTTCTCTGGTCACGCCTTCCTTCGTGAAATGGGTAGATGGGTCGATAGGTAGGGTCCAGGTGTGTGAGCTGCCTACCTGGCGTCGGTAGCATTGGTGTTCAGCACGGAAAACAAGATCGACGGAAAACAAATCGAGGGAAAAAATACACGAAATTCATAAGAACACTAGTGTTACCTTGTAAGATATGTTCGAACTAAATTATGCACCATTTAAAACGCCTACGCCTCCTAAACAACAATGCAAAAAAACAGCAACTTTGTATTTAGCGAGGATGTCGAGAAGTCGACCCTGCATTTAAATTAAATTTATGTGAACACTAGTGACACCTGATGAGAGAATTCCGAACTAACTTGTCAAGAATTCAAAAGGTCTTAGCCGTCTGAACATCATTGCAGATAACAGCAACTTTGTATCTAGCAAAGATCTCGAGATATCAACCCAGAATTTGCACGACATGCATAAGAACACTAATGTCACCTAGTGAGAGAATTTCAAAATTAATTGGGCGCAAATTACAATACCTTAGTCTACTGATCAACAATATAGAAAACATAAACTTTGTATCTAGCAAGGGTTTCAAGATATCGACTCTGCATTTGAACGAAATTTGTAAGAACACTAGTACCACCTAGGGAGATATTTTCGAACTAAACTCTCCACAATTCATTTCGGTATCCTGAAAAACATTACAGCAAACAGCAACTTTGTTTATAGCCGGAACCATGATATACTGCATGAACAAAATTTGTGTATGAACACTAGAACCACCTATTTGGAGAACTCTCAACTTAAGAATAACCTGTAGTGTTGACCTTAGTAATCTACACAACATTGCAGAAGCCCGCATCCTTCTACCTATCACTTAGCACGAGAACTTTATTCTGTGAAAGTTGATAAAACGATGTTATCTAAAAACACTAACACCACCAAGTGAGTCAATTCCGAACCTAAATTGTTTGCCATTTTCAAGAGATATTGGTCCATAGAACACTATTGGTGAAGACATGCATAACTTTTGAGCTGAAAGTTCTCAACTGTAATTAAAACTGTAGCTGATCTATAAATAGATCACTGGGTATTAATGGGTGAAGGTCATTGTCGTCATTCGCGCGCATATAAAGATTTCACCTATTTGTAAGTTGTTTTCACCCAACCTCACCATCAAACTACTAAATATTAAGTTCTACTCCACTAACTTAAAGCCTCACACACATTCTGCGTGCTCATGCGATAGTGACGAGAACATGAAATGCAGTTTTTTTTATATTACACGAGAAAAGCACTTCATCATCGGTAGGTGAATGAAACAGTTTTTTTTTACTATTCTATCCATTACACACGATACCGGTTTATCGTTATCTCGTAAAAGTAGTTTCCCTCTACTTATTTCCAGATGATTTTCCACAGTTTCCGTCTTCCTTGTCATTGGATGTGGTTCACTTTTGCTGGCAAACATTTTCATAAAATAAAAAACGCCAGCACGGTTCAACAGTTCAGAAAAAAAAAGCAAGAGAAAAACTCATCCTGCATTGGATGGAATAATCAATTTAAAAAAAATCCAACCCACACCACCCACATTGATTCATGCCCAGCGAGGCATGGCATCGCCACCGTCAAACCACCTCGATTTTACTCATCATCACTTCACGTCAAACGCTTGATTCCATTCTGCTTCCATCCGTCGAATGGTGGACGCAGCCGAGCGGAAAAATGTCCACCATAGTTAATAAGTTTCGAAAGTAAATACAACCCGGTCTGTGTGTGGGGACGGTAAATCGTGATAACGTGTGGCTCGAACTCTTTTGAGTGGAAAATGCTGCCGGCACAGATTTTTTTTTTTCGGAATTAAATAATTCATGAATAAATTTAGCCTCGTTTCGTCACGTGGGAAATTCAAGTGAATTGCTTTTGAAAAGCGCGAGCCATATAAAACTCACCTGTCACATGCGCCAGCTCTACCATCTCAGCGCCGAATACTGAGAAGGCTTTCACGAATTCTGTAAAATTGGCCACTGATTCTAATCTACTTAAATTTCTAGCTACCTGTTGAGAGACGGAGACAAATAGACAATGGTTGTTATCGTCGTCATCGACAGCACCGCGGCGGCGTACTTACCCTGTCTTTGGCTAATAATAACTGTTTAACGACCACGATATCGGCCAGCAGCAGGACCCGCGTCACCGAGCTCAGCAGGGTCCGGGCCGCCCGTATCATCGGTCCTCTGTCGTCAATCGGATTAGGCCGGGGCGAGTAGCCCACCGGATCCGTTGCCGCAATATCACATAAACGCTCTATCGATGAGCCTGCCGGGGAAGGAGAAGAAGAAGAAGAAGAGGAAATCGTAAGAAAATGTCTGTCACACAAAGGATGCTAGCGGCAGATACGATATTGTTGTTTGTGGCGAGGATTATGGTTTTCGGGCATTAGGAAGGAAAGGTTATTGGTTTGGCACGTGTGTTGCATGTTACGTAGAAAGTGAGGCATGTCAGAAAGATGAAAGTTGTGTTCTTGGATACTAGTGGAATTTTCTCAAGACCAAAAAAAGGTGATTATTTTCCATTGAAATCAACTTAGTAATGTCTGTCATGGATACAAATAATCGTATTCCGGCTACAATGTGCACCAATTGGGGATTTTTCCAGATTAAAGAGTTGTTTAGATATTACTTCATTACTTGAATCTTTGGTTATTCGTTAGGTGGGGTTCGATTCTGCACGTTGTAGTTTCATTTTTATTGCTGATCTTGACAAGTTTATCCAAGGGATGAGTACTTAAGAGGGTTACTTTACTGCTGGTACTTACATATCAGTCCCATTTGGAAAAGTCATAAAACCCAGTACTAATGGTCCAAATAGTTTCGTTGCAACATGAGTTTATCCTAGTTGAAGATGCTTATTTCAAATAACATACTAGAGTGGTATGTTAGTATGATAGATGAGTAGATGAAAGTATAGAATTGATAGTTCCGTTAGAGTGCGGCAGTGTGATATTATTGGTATAGAGAGTAGAAAGCGAGCTAGGACAACTTTTATGAATGAAGGTACAAATCGGTTTGATCATCTTTCTTTACCAAAAAAAAAAAGGTTTTATCGTCGGTTACTTGAATACTTTCATATATAGCAGTGGTATTTTATTAGGATACGTAGGATGAAATCAGATGGGACTCATATACGAGTACATTTTGAGACGAGGGCAAAAGTACTCGCATACCAGTCCCATCAGTCACTTGGTTGGTTCCGATAATTTAAGAATTGTCCAAGAAACTTCAGAGAAGTTTAGTGAACTAACAAAAAACTTCACAAAAGATCCAAGATATTCACGCAAGTCCAGAGAACTTCAGAACCGTTAAAGAATTATTCGGACAGTTCCATTAATTTCAGCACAATTCTAGGAACATGACTAGGAGGGTTGCGAGAATTTCAGATTAAAGTGCTTTAATACAGTTAAACCCGTTCTGGGGAATGAAAAGAAATGGTCAGAATTTCATCCAAATTTTATAAACAAACTACTGGAACATAAGGGAAGTTCCGAACACTTTTGTAAAATATAGGAAACTTCAGAGAAGTATCAATAATATTATGGTGTTTTCATTAGCTTCAGGAAAACTGCTGAAAAATCCAGAAACTTCCAGGGAAATTAAGAGAACTTGAGAGAAGAGAGACCTTTAGGGAAATTTCCGAAACTTTAGAGTAGTACCAAGTACTTGAGAGAAGCTAGGTCTTGAGATCTTAAGGGATTTGTTCTTTCCTTTATTTAACGTCGGTCTCTGTTCCGCAATCTAGTGTCAATCACCGAAGGACATCGATTGCCATCCATTGATGGCAATCAAATGTGCAGGAAGGCAGCTTCCACACTTGCGTAGAATATCGCACTCATTCAAACACACATGGGCCGGGACCAAGGGCTTTACTTGCCTTCCGAAGGAAGACGTGACCAGAGATTTTTATGCCTCAGAAAAATCAGTCACGCTTACCACTACACCACCGGCGCTGGCTCTTAATGGATTATCAGAGATACTAAGAGCGTTTCCTATAATTTCAGGGACGTTCCAGAATCTTCAGCAAAGTCTAGAATTTCGGGTAAGCTCTGAAAGCGTAAGTTCCGATAAATTCAAGACAGTTCCATCAACTGCTGTAACATTTCTAGACCCCTAAATGAGTTGGGTCTCTCTTAGCTCAGTCGATAACAGTGCAGCTATTTCTATTCTATTTCAGATTCCTGGTTTAGTCTAGGAATTTTTTGGGTTGAAAAATTTCTCGGCTTCCCTGGGCATAGAGTATGAATGTACTTGCTACACAATTATACTAATGCAAAAATGGAACAGGCATCGGAAGGTTTCTATTAATTTCTGTGGAAGAAGCTAATAAGCAATAAACGATAAGCTTAAATTGCGAAGAAAAAGAAGAAGAAGACCCTCAAGGAGTTCCTGAAATTTTAGGAAAATCTAAAGAACTCATGAGAACTTAAGTTTATCACTAATATTACGGAAATTTCACAGTAGAACAGAGAACTTCAGGGATGTTTAAAGGTTTTCAGGACAGTCGCAATTTATTTCAGGATACTACCAAGAACTACGGGAGATTTGAGGGAGCTTTAAGGAAACACCGAACAAATCAGGACAGATTGGAGAAAGTAAGGCCAGCTCAATTAATTTAAAGGAAACCGATGGAACTATAATGGAAAATTTAGCAAAGGTTCTCGGTAGGTTCATTTTTTTCAAACGTTAGGGAAGTCACAGGAACATCAGTAAAATGGGCGCACATTTTAAAGAAAATTTCGTGTTGTTAATGGTAGATTAAAGAACGTAACTGCCGTTGACTCTGACTACGATGTCATAGTTCTTACGGAAACCTGGCTCTATGACCGCATTAATTCATCTCAATTATTTGGCAGTCTATTTACGGTATTTCGAAACGACCGCAACCACCAGAATAGTACCAAATTGCGTGGGGGAGGCGTCTTGATTGCGGTATCCAAACACCTAAGCCCCTGCATCGATCCTGCTCCAGTTTGCACTTCTCTAGAGAAGCTGTGGGTCAAAATAACGACGCCTCGTAGATCAATAAGTATTGGCGCTATGTATCTACCTCCAGACCGGAAATCTGATTCGAGCAGCATTGCAAACCACATCAGTTCGATTGGTACCGTGTTCTCTCGACTAGAACAAAACGACCTAGCTCTGGTATTTGGTGACTACAATCAGTCTGGGCTCTCATGGAACGTTCCTGCAAACGATCTTCCTAGCATTGATGTTCTTCGCTCGAACATGCCCACATCCTGCTGTGCTCTCCTTGATGGTTTCAACCTGCATGGCTTAACGCAAATCAACTCGATACTGAATAGCAACTCTCGGCTGCTTGATCTCGTTCTGGCGAACGAAGCTGCAGGACTGGAATGTTCAATCCTAGAAGCCCCAGAGCCTTTGATTGACATCCACACCAATCATCCTGCGTTGGAAGTTTCCATCAACCTATCTGTTCCTGTTCGCTACGATAACCCCCCTGTTGATGTACATGAGCTCGACTTTCGTAGAGCAGATTTCGTCGCGCTGAGTCACTCGCTTGCCCAGGCAGATTGGCAGTTCCTTGACACGTGTTCATCTATTAATGAAGCCGTCAACTACTTCGCTGAGGTCGTTGGCCGGACAATAACTGATTCTGTCCCATTGAGGAGACCCTCTCCCAAACCCGCATGGTCCAATGCTCGACTACGGAATTTGAAGCGTCTGAGATCGAAGGCCCTCCGTAAATACTGTCGTACTCGTAACCCATTCACCAAACGATTATTTTCAACAGCGAGCAACGAATATCGCACATATAACCGCATTCTTTACAAGAGCTACACAAGGCGTGTGCAGGCTAATTTACGGCTTAAATAATCCAAAGCAGTTCTGGTCATTCGTGAATACCAAACAAAACGAGGAGGGGCTACCAGTCGAAATTCACCTGGGTGATAGAATCGCTAGCAATTCCCTTGAGAAATGTAATCTTTTGGCAGAACATTTCAGGATTTATGCAATATTCCGAGCATTTTAGGAATGTTCCAAAATCCTCAGGGAAGTTATATGAATATCAGTATAATATCCGGATCACGTGGACATTTTGGGATTTTTAGGCATTTCAGCTAAAACAATGTTTTTCTAAATTATGAAATAATTAGATGCCATGATCAAATTTTGAATTGGTAGGATACAAGAAGAGGTTGCAAAGAATGTGTTTGACATATTAAACATGTTTATTTCACTTCATGAGAGTCACAATCAGCGATTTTTCACAAACTCACTCACTCACTCACTCACTCACTCAGCGATCAGCAAATCGCTGATTGTGACTCATAGAAAGCAAAATTTACAGGTTTTATGTTTCCAACGCATACTTTGTAACCTCTTCTTGTAAGTTACAAGTAAAACATGCCATCATACCATCTTTTGGTTTTATTATTCCGAAAAACATTATTTTAGCTGAAATGAGTCTTTGCAACCTTGTTTTTAGGGAAGCACCGAAGGTTGAGGTAAGTCTATAGAAGTTTGAGGATATTAGGGGAAGATCTAGGTACTTCATGGCAATTCAATTAAGTTCAGAAGAATAGCGGGAACTTTAATAAAATACTAAAAAAATTCGGGGAGTTCGAATATCATAAGGAAAACACGTAATGAATTTCGTTCGAAAATTAAAAGGACAGTTCCATAAATTATTTCGTTTTAATTTCAGGAAAATTAGGAAAACCTTAGAGAAGTCCCGTAGCTTTCAGGGAAGTTCAAAGAACTCCGGGGGGGTTGTGAATTTTCAGGAAATCTTCGATAACTTCACAGCAGTCCAGGAGAACACCAGGAAATCTTTGGGAACTTCATAGAAGACCAGAAAACTATACGCTTGCACCAGTTTAGCTTAGGTATAGGCTCTGCGTAGGAGTAATTTTTTTTATTATAGTCACTTTAACGCTCTTCGGTCATTCGTGACTTGTCCGGGGTGAGATTTGAACTCGTGACTTTGGCGTGAGAGATATGAATGCTAACCTCTACGCCGGGGTCGGCCCCTTTGTAGGAGTCAAGTGCATTCTGGAATATGAATGCATCCATACGAGATTATTCTGGAAGGACTACTTTGGTCCCAAAATGCATCACATGATTTTGAAGGAGAACGACGAATTAGTTTAGATTAGAATTACTTTCTGTCTGTTTCGAGTAAAGTTAAATGGAATTCATAGTTCCACAACTATGCCACAGACATAAACATCTTGTAATTTCTAGAAGCTAGTTTTTCCAAGTTTATCACCACTTATACAGGGATATGCCAGATGATGC